TTGTTTTTTCTTCCAATTAAACATTTTAAAAGAATTTCATGTCTGCATTTTGTGTATTTATTAGGCATTTTTGTGTTTTTAACAATTCTCTTTATACAAGTAAACTATAGTAGGCCACGTATTAATACTAAGAAATGAAAGGGTCATTTCTCATACTGATGATTTATAAAGACAATTGAATAAGTAAGCGTTGTCCCCGTTCTTTATTAATATAGCTTAATGTTACCGGTGTCCTGTGTGGAAAGTGCTGGTGTAACGTTACACCCAGGTGGTGTGGAACTTCTTAATAATTTCTTCAAAAAATTAAATTATGATTGCATTGGTAAACATCTATTGAGTGTAAACTTAAAGTTAAATAAGTTTTCAAATGTAGGAAACGGCAAAATTCCATTAGCGAAACGATGATCTGAAAATTAAGGAAAATTATATCAACAAATGGAAAGAGCCGTTAATTATAATTTATATACTCATTTTGGGTCTTTGCTCAATGTAAACGTAGTGTTGTACTGCACCTGCCGATGTTCGTAAACTTTTTATATTTCAGGGTATTTTAATGAGAAAATTAAAAAAATTATTACTTCGCCATGCAAAGATTAAAATGTATTAGCCTCGGATCTCTGTTCATGTGACACCGGCTTAATAATAATAATATATCACATTAATATTTGATTCTATTCTATTTTGTACAATTACGGCTGGAGTAATATTACAGGGTGAACTCTTAACAGTTATCAATTTATTTTTCCATCACACCTGATACACCTTCTCTTTCCCATTACACCATCTCACTCCCGTTACACCTTCTCCCTCCCATTCCACCTTTCACTCCCATATCACCTTCTCCCTCCCATTATACCTTATCCCTCCCATTACACCTTCTCTCTCCCATTACACCTTCTCCCTCCCATTACACCTTCTCTTTCCCATTACACCTTCGCCTTCCCATTACACCTTCTCAATCCTATCATACCTTCCCCCTCCAATCACACCTTATCCCTCCCATTACTCTTTCTACCTCCCATTATACCTTCTACCTCCCATCATACCTTCTCCCTTCCATTACACCTTCTCTTTCCCATCATATCGTCTGCCTCCCATCTTACCCTCTTCTTCCCATCACACGATCTCCTTCCATTACACCTTCTACCTCCGATCATACCTTCTCCCTTCCATTACAACTTCTCTCCCCATCATACCTTCTCCCTTCCATTACACCTTCTCTCAGCCATCAATCCTTCTGCCTCCCATCATACCCTCTTCTTCCCACCACACCTACTTCTTACATCTTACATCTTCTCCCTCCCAGTCCCAGTACACCTTCTCCCTCCCATTATGGATTCTCCCTCCCTATACCTTCTCCCTCCCTATACCTTCTCTCTCCCATCAAACCTTTTCCATCCTGTCACACCTTCTCCCCCACCTTCAAACTGTCCTAGCATATACACAACAAATCTAAAATAAAACATCAAATTAGGAAAGAATTGATAAATTTAACGAGATGTATAAAACATATCAAATCAAATAACAAATCTAACACAAAACAATTCAAGTCCAGAGACGAAAAACTTTTGACAAAAAAAGTTTAAGGCTTCTCGGAAAAATTCTTGTTTACGCCCCGCTGATTTTCAATTCTATTGTGAATATATCGTTTCAAAATTGATTAGAGTTGAGTTATGCAAAAGCTTTTTGTTAATACCATTTTTTAAATGCTCTTATATGAAGAAAAAAAAAATCATGGAATTTTATCAAAAATCATTTATTTTCATCAAGACTGTAAAAAAGCCTGTATACAGTCTACTATTGTTTTCTTTCAAAAGGTTTGTTTGACAGATTTTGAATCAATATTTTTTGCAAAAATGCTTTGTAAAGTGAACGTTTCGAAATAATGACCATAAAAAAATCAAAGTTTATTAATTTTTTGACTGATTAAGTCACCCTGTATTGCGTTAAATGTAGTAACTTTCCTTCCTTGACTATTTGAAAGTTGAAACCATGTAAACGTTATCAACGTTACTTTTAGTCAATCATAACATCTCAACCTGCTAGGTAATATGCATATTCTTTTTATCAGCAGAATATATTTTTGAAACTTACAAATATGTATGGTAACCCCCCCTCTCTCCATTCCCTACTCCATCCCATCAAAATTATTATTGGTGTAGATACTTTACAAAACATAACAATCAAAAATCTTTAAACAAGTCAAATAAAAGAATTCTACATATTCATTCTCTAATTTCATGAACATTCTGTTTCAAAGTATTCTTGACAGATTACTTAATAAAACCATTTTCAGGAATATATGCATTGCAATTTGCGATTAAACATGTTGATTCAGTAAAATATCAAATTTTATAAAAATAAAAATGAATGAACATAAGCAATTATTTAGTTCTTAACTCACATATTCTAACTGCATACAGACTTTTCCAGCCTTAATAAAAGGTCTAAACCCATTCTCGATGTTTCTAGTAGACTTGACATCCACCATTAGCAAAGAATTTAAACCTATTTTTGTTGACTGAAGTAGACTTTGACATCCTTCATTAGCAAGTGGTTTGAACCCGTTCTTGTTGACTGTGGTAGACTTTGACGTCCACCAGTAGCAAACCCATTCTCGATGTTTCTAGTACACTTGACTCTCACCTTTAGCAAGTGGTTTGAACCTATTCATGTTGACTATGGTATACTTTGACATCCACCATAAGCATAGAGTGTAAACCCATTCTCTCAAATCATCTGGAAACTACAAGGTTTCCATTCCTTCTCCTAAAAATTATACATGGGTCGGTCCTAGTCCTTAAAAAACTCAAGCTTTTTGCAGACTTTTTCTCAGAGAGAGGAGGTGTTAACTTCTTAAAATGTCAGGGATTATTTCAAAGTACTTGTCAAAAGTACACAAAGGAATTGAGTCTTTGCCACAGATTCTGATCTTCTAATCCCTATATCTTTGCATTCCAATGTGGTAGACTTAGATATTTCAAACTATGGATTCGGGTGGATCAAATAATAATAAAGTTTAAAATATCATTCATAGGCTTATACTATTAGGTTGCACAGATATAGGGATTGGAAAATTTTAGTTTGTGGCAAAGACTCAGTTCCTTTTTACCCCAATATTAATTAAAGGCTGCAGTTCTCAAAAAAAAACTAGATTTCTTGCACATTTTTTCCATTTTATTAACAATAATTTATGTATTTATCGCGCGTTGTTATAAAGCAATTAGTTTTACCAGTAACTAAAAAAAACAAGTTATTAGGTAAAATGGATTTGTGTTTTTACTTCAAAATTGCTGTGTTTTATGTTCATTCACTAATTAAAATCATAAATTGAGTCCTATAGTCGTCTTCTTATTCCGCAATTTTAAAGTTCCCACCGTATACTGAAAACATTATTTATTATTTTGTTGTAGGCCTTGTGGAAAACATCCGAGTACTTTGGTGTACTCTACCGTACTGTACTCTTCTGTATATAGTATACAGTTCTGTGCTCATCTGTGCATACAGGGTGGCCCAAAAAACAGGGAAATGGGGTTTTCTGCCCTTTTTTCGTTTTAAAAAAACTTAATTGTGGTTCAGTGCATAGTTTTTAATTTTAGAAAGGGTCGTTTAATTAACTTGTCGTCGTCCGATCTTTCTGTTTGGTTTAAAAACTATGTCCAATAATATAACGAAAATCTCTCCGTTAACTTCAGCTAACAAATATTACTTAAGAAATAAAAAAATTCATAATAATAAATCTGAACCCACTTAGATTTTTCTTGTGTTATATTTTATATTATTTCTTGAAGAGTCCCCAATTTGATGCCATTCTAAAAATGGTCTATGTGTAAGGTTCATCAAAGCTGTTTGCAACCCTGGGCCGGGACTGCTGCAACCTTTCTTTTAGGTTTTAGGTTCCGGATTATGACCACGTGGAACACCTTGGATTCCAAAAGCCCATAATTAAAATCGAAGTGGGTTCGGATCTATATAAATGAATTTTTTATTTCTTAATATTTTTTAGCTGAAGTTAACGGAGAGATTTTCGATTATTGGACATGGTTTTACACCAAACGGAAAGATCGGACGACTAAAAGTTAATTAAACGACCCCGTCTAAAATTAAAAACTATCTGCTGGGGAACATTTTTGGGTCTTTTTAAAACTAAAAAAGGGCTGAAACCCCCAAATCCCTGTTTTTTTTCGGCCACCCTGTAGTGTACTGTTCGGTACTCTTCAATACATATTGTACAGTTCTGTACTCTTCTGTACATAGTGTACAGTTCTGTACTCATGTGTACATATTGTACTCTTCTGTGCTCTTCTGTACATACTGTACTGTTCTGAACTCTGCTGTACCATCTTGTGCTTAAACAACTTCACAAGCGAACTTGATTCATGAGATTCATACAATATTAAAATAATTACAGCATTTGTCAATTGTATCCAAATGAAAAGCTTTTTTGTAAAACATTTTGTGAGACATTTTTTATTTATACTCCAGGGTAGATAAACTTGTAGTTAAAGGGAGTGTTCGTGAAAAATGAAAGGGGGGTATAGGCTTACGGCGAAATATAATCGCTTATTATGACTAGTAATCTTACTTCTATATGTTGCGTCTATAAGGAGAAAATTGTTAAAAAGGACTTGTATAGAAACGTAGTCTTTTACAAATTGAGAAAGTTGCAACAAAGGACTCGGATCGTAAAAATCAATTTAATATCAATCAAATCATTTAGATATTACAACTTACAGTCATCGATTATTTTTCGACAAATTCGTATACAGTTGATATTTCATAATATTTGTATCTCTTTTATATACAATGTACTTAAAACGCCGATTAGTTTGACCGCCAGGTGTCTATGCTCTTGATGCTCTTAATGATTCCACGTGATGGCAGAGACAGGGAAAAAATCGCTGTTTTCAGTGAATTGTATCTAAAACAAATAAAAAATATTATGAAATATCAACTTTATATGAATGCGTCTAAAAATAATCGATGACTATAGGTTTTAATATCTAAATGATTTGTTTGATATGAAATAGATTTTTTTTCGATCCGAGTTGTTTGTTGCAACTTTCTCAATTTGTATAGACTCTACGTCCGACTCATACGTTATTCGGTACAAGTCGTTTTTTAATAATTTTCTCCAAACAGACGCAACATATGGAAGTAAGATTAGCATCGATCAAAAGCGATTATTTTTCGCCGTAAGCCTTTAACCCCTTTTATTTTTCGCAACACTCCCTTTTTAAGGTGAAGTTTTATCCTGTTTATATCTTCAAAACAATTAGAAATAATAGTGATCATTTTCTAAGACAAAATATGGATAGATACAGAATTTTATTATTTTTGGCAAAAAAAGGTCTGGTTGTAGATTAAAAATGATTTTCTAAAGAATTTTAATTTCATCCATTTTTTTATTACATTAAAATTGTCCTTAAAAAGAAGTATGACTCTAGTATTGACACATTGAGTCTGAGTCTACGGGTATATTTGAATCCTTGATGTAACTTGGGTTCCCAGGACTCCAGGGGTAAAAATGGTTACCCTGGTTAACCTTGGACCAAGAGAGATGGTTCTCCTTCTTCTGCTTCTAGTTCTTTCTTGGAAACCTGAACCAGCACATGCAGGTAGAAAAAACAGGACTTCATTCCTTTTTTATTTTATCTAAATGCTATTTTGATTTTAATCGACATAACTAAGAATGTAGGTACAAGTAGAATAAAGTAGATAAAAATTAATAGAATAAAACGATTAATTTAACAGCGGAAAGATATGGAGGAAGGATAAAGATATGCGGGAGTTATTGTATCATAGTGGCCACACATTATATACCTTCACCGTTTATCCCACTTTCATTTGTCAAAATTGATATTTTCGAATATTTGATAAGTGGATTCTTTTTATTTACAAAATCCTAATCATTTATTCATTTAAAAAAATTGTGCTTAAAAGTTTTTATTTTTGTAAAATTTTGATAATGCGCGAAAAAATTAAACATTTTATTTAGGTGTAATGATTATGAAGTGCTCGTCAAAATATGAACTAGGAAATTATTTTTATAAAATCATGAATCAATCATAAAAAAGTCTATTAAAATTCGTTTTATTGTCTACGCACAGTTTCACAGTGTATTTACAATGTTTCAACTTTTTAAAATTGAATTTACGAAAGCTAATAATTTTTTCAATTCCAGGACCTCATTAAATGAATTAGAGAGGTCGCTGAATTACCTTCCTCCGGTTAAATCCTCAATCATCGATTCAAATCCTCAGGAATCGGTGATTCAAGATTTGAACCAGCGGTAGGTTGATCAGCGACTTAGCTCAAATTCTTTTAGTTCTATCCCCCTAGTCTTATATATGTTTTATTTAGGTGTTAGGTACTTTCCCAAAGGCATTTTCCCAAGGGGGACTTCCCAAGTGGCAACTTACCAAATGTGCAATTTCCCAAGCGGCAACTTCCCAAAGGTTAGGTTAGGTTCTCTGAGGCGCCGCAGGCTGCAATGGGGGCCGAGCGCCACGGCTAGGATGGGATAGGGGCTGAGCACCGCGGCTAGAACAAGCTTGGGGCCGAAAGCTGCGGCTAGGACAGACTTGGGAAGCTGCCGCTTGGGAAAATTTCAAATTTGGAAAGTTGCCACTTGGGAAAATACCCTTGAGAAGTTTCCATCTTGGGGGAAATCTTTTGGGGAAGTACCTAACCTCTTTATTTCACCATGAATACCTAGCTTTACAAAGCAATTTTGTCTATTAATGATTACACTAGACCCACCCACAACACCAAAAAATGAAGAAAAGTTCTTATCTTATTATGAAAATAAATTATTAGTGGGAGGAACGAAGTGCTTTATGACGACATCGTTCCAAACCTCTAGAAATTATGACCAAACAATTAAACAGTGTAACACGTAAGTTTGAATTTGTAGGTTTTAATTTGCTTAATAGCACACTTTTTTATACAAGTTTTTTTTCTTTTTTTCTTGATCAATTTCCAAAATGAAAGGATTGAATTTTAAGATCATATTAACCCATGTACTGCATTCCAGGTCCTACACAAAAATACCCAAGTAGTTAATTCATTTTTGGCATTTATTGGGAACATGAAATATTTGTTAAAGGAATTGAGTTTTAGTAACATTTTGACCAATAACTTAATTCAAGCAAAATTTTAACCTACAGAAATATGACCATCATAATTGGGTCTTTTCAGAGAACATTTCATTGAAAAGTTTTCAAAAAAAAATATCCACCGGAGCCAGAGAATGTATCGGAGAAAAATGCCAAAAATTCTTTTTTTTAAATCATTTCAAATTATTGTTTAGTGATGCTGAAGAGAATGGATACCTGGCTCACATCAAGGATACAGATTTACCATCTCTAGTAGAATGGTTAAAAACTAAACATCAGGTTACATAGCTGAAAACTGTATAATTGTGAATATTGAAATCAATGCTGCTTGATTTCCTCCGTTTATTAATCTCCAGAAAAGTGTATAATATTAAACCAATAGTATAAAGAATTTTGAAAAGCCAATAAGAAGCTGGGAAATTATTTTGCTCGCCATTTAATGAGAAAACTCGGAATCTACTATGGGATATCTAAAAAGAGAGAAAACGAGCGGGTTGAGCATGAATTTGAAGTGTCCACATAGAATATTCAGATTAAGAGATCGGGATCAAAACTATCCAATTCCCAGCTCAGGATAAAGTTTTTTTCTAATCATTATTCATTAATCAATTTTCTTGGACTTTTTCTTAATCTCTTATAAAAGTACAGATATTTAAAATACGCAATTTGCAACATATTTTAGAATGATGCACAGGATTACCCTCCAAGGATAAGACTTCCGAGGCGACTATCCATACTTTTTGTTTCCTTATATTTATTATTCCCAGCAACTGTAGTGTAAACCTGTTTCTTTCTAAGCCTAATCGTTGATAAGCCATAAGAATGTTATAATTAAGGCAGAAGACCTAATTTACCATGGAATTTTCAGATTTGTTATAGAGTTTCATGTCATCTTTATAGTCTCATCTTTTGTAGGTATAACCCTGTACTACTATTAGAATTGCAAGTCATACAATCTTACGTAGAATGATGCATGTTTGTAACTACGTTTGAAGCATTTTCCGTCATTATGATTTTAAGTAAATGGCAAATACTTTAAATTGACGAAATTTACATTAAATCCGACTTTTCTGGCAGAAACTTGACGATTGTGACGGAAAGTATTATACGGATCTGTTTGACTGTAAGCGTAAGTTCAAGTGATCCTCCATGTGCAAATGGTACCGATTTACAACTGTAAACCAGAAACCTAAATCTTGATCAAAAAATACCATAGATTTTCTGACTCGAAACGTGTTTATTTCTGTGAGTTTCTCCATTGCTTACTTTAAACAAGAAATGAGCAAGTCACTTTCGCAGAGAAACCACAAATAGAAATAAACAGTTTAAAGAAACAAAAACATTAATATTTAATTCATACTTGATCTGGTTTCAAGGGTACCGTTGTAAATTGGACATTGCCATCTTTTCATGGAGGATCAATTTAAATAAAGCTTATAGTCCCTTTAAGTTGTAACATTGAGTTAGTTTAGCTTCTTAGAAAGTTAGAAGTTAATCATGAGGGAACGTATCCTTTAAATAAGGAGAATGAACTATGAATTGTACTATCTGTAAACATCTTGTGATCAAGGTACTAATAAAAGGAAAGTTATTTCAGAGGTGTATGCATGCATTTTTTGTACTGCAGTGTCTTTGGGCGAAAAAGTAAATACAAGACGGATGTCACAGCCTGACATGGAACCCATTTTCACAAAAATAATCTATGAAATATTCTGGTCATAGGACCCTATTATGTGAATTTTCAAAATTATCAAAATTAAATGCCTTTAACCTCCTCGGATACTAAACAAACACTGATCGCATCTACTCTTGTTTACAAATTCCGCCCAGAGAGATATAGTTTCAATATGTACGCAGAGTATAAGCGACTTCATCTAACTTTCCTTGCATTAGTACCTTGCTTGTGATGCTCTATTTTTATACCTTCCAATCAAAGCTTACTGTAGGGAACAACAACTCAGAAGATGTTCTGGCTCGGAGTAAAGTGGGATGCTCAAAAAAGTCAGTTCATGTAAGTTTATTTTATTATTTTCTCAGGTCAATCCATTTGAAAAATCCATTTAAAAAATTTTAAACCGCCAAAAACCGGTTCCAATTGAGCGCCGGCTCAAATCTAGAAACATTGAATACAATTTCAAGTGGCACCAACAATGTTTGAGCCGCGTCTCAATTTGAGACACGGCTCTGATTCTTTAAATTCGGCCTCTGGGCTAGAAAATTCTTTTTACAAGTTAATAGCATTTTGTATCGACAATTCAAATGATTGTAAAGTCCTATCGCGGTAATCATGAATTGTATTTTCATCACCTAAAGGATCGTTTTTTAAGGGAGTGAAAATTCAAGTTTTTGGATTTGGTGTACAAAACCCTAGATGGGGTGAAATTAGATCATGATGCGGGGGGGGGTCACATATCCCTTGACTCAAAAACTATAAAGAGGGGGCGAGATGACTGTAAGATCAACTAAAATAGCGACTTTTGCACAATCCATATTGGATATCAATTGAAATAGTTGTCTAAGAGAATCTCGATATGGGGGAAATATTAAAAATATTGAAGAACTGTGATACATTTTTGATATATCCGCCAACGCTATAGGAATTACGGTTAAAATCAATTCCAGATCTGAGAAGACTGGAGAGGAATCAAGTTTATCGTATTTTGAGAGTCGTCATCCTGTAGAGGGAACTTGTCTTATTCTTTCTACAGTCGATTGGAAGGTAGGATACAGGATACATGATACAGAAATCATACAGGGTTACCCACAAAGGATGGGACTTCAGAGAAGACTTAACGGAATTTAAGCATTCATGATTCCCTGCAGACTACATCGTAAACTTGTTTATTTCATTGCAAAATTATTAAACACGCCATAAATGGATTATCTTTAAGACAGGAAACTTAATTTTACCTTAAAATTGTCATATCTTCAGAGTTTCCGGTCGTCTTTACATTCTCATCTATTGTGGATAACCCTGTAGATAAAAGATACAGGAGACAGAATGCAGTAAACACCTACTCCATAACAAGTTTCTTAAAACATATCCATCCAGGTACAATCCGTCCTCTATCAAACTCAACCAGGACTGAATCCCAGGCTCTAAATGCCACACAGGGACACAAGCGTAGCTATCAAAATCCAGTTACTAATCCGCTTTAAATGTCACAAAGGGACACAAGGGTTGCAGGTTTACTCTCTCGCAGTAAACAGTACGGAGTTATTCTATCAACTGATGTGTATTTCTTAAATTAGAATTGGGTCATTAACAGCGCAATTATTTATATAAAATGCATTTAAACAATCACAATATGGGTATGAAAGAGTTATATATATCTACGTACATGGAATAGGTTAATCACAATACAGGATTTGCATAATTATTACAGGTTATTTACTATAAGAACTAGGTACGACGTTAATTACAATAGGCCTCAATTTTTGCTTCAAGAATACAGGGTTTGTAGGAAACATGATGTAAGATGGAAAATATAGTAGAACGGAATATATTAATGGTATGATGAAATTTGGATATTTTATAAAATCTTCAATATGTATTTTTTAGGTTACCAACATACCGTGTGAAAATACAAAGGAGGAAAATTTAGTCGAATACCAGCTTTGTCAAGGTAAAACAGTTTAAACTATGAGAGTATTGTTTAAATTGGAGGTGGGGGGGGGGGGGTTACCTTTTTCCTTTGCATGAAATAAAAATTAGGATTAAATAAAAGAAAATGTACTTCTCTAATTTCCAGTTTTATGCCTTTTTTCTTCCATTGTAGGCCTGGCCACTACCTTCCCCCCCCCCTCTTGAATACTGCCTCAAACAAGTTTGAACCATATTCAACCAGTTTGAAACAGTGTGAACCAGATTAAAACCATTAGTGGTTCACAAGTCGTTTTTATATAAATTATCAACATTTATCAACATTGAAGAAGATTAAATAAGTAAAACGGGGGGAAACCTGCTCTTGAAAAAATAGCTGTCTGGTGTATTACTTGTAGTTATTCAACATTGGAGGTTTTTACTAAACAAATTTCAAGGCTATAAGAAATGAAATATTAAAAAGCTTGTCCTATATACAACTTTGCATCTGCATGAATTCAAATATATTTACAGAAAACTCATGCTCCTTCATTCTCCTATTCTAAAAGAGAAATTCTATTTTCAGGAATAGTCACTGGTTCTGTTGTCACAAATACAGTATGCCCCAAAAATTATGAAATAGGAACAAATTCATTGGAAGAACCCCCCCCCCTTCCTTTCTCTTAGATACTGTAGACGTAGACGTAGACGTAGATGTAGACGTAGACGTAGACGTAGACGTAGACGTAGACGTAGACGTAGACGTAGACGTAGACGTAGACGTAGACGTAGACGTAGACGTACACCCTGTCCATTAACAGGAGTCGCCAAAAATAAACATTTTCATTTACATGTTTGAAAACCTAGTTGGACATAATTAGTATTCAGGTTTTTCGTAAATAATTTGTAACATCAAGATTTGCATGTGTTTACATTTTAATAGATAGAGATTGTTTTCTCCCCCCCCCCCCACGCCCAAGGGGCTCCATTCGCAATATTCGCAATAATAGCGTAAAACTGGATCTGTAGCTGGCTTACTTATCTGTATAAATAAAAAAAAGATTCTTTTTGCATGCAACAATCAAGTCAATTGGTAGAACACAAAATATTTTCCAGTGTCTCTGTTGTTATGGATATCAAAAGAATAAAAAAAGGTTAAGCATCAGCGCACTAAAACTTACTGCTTGTATAGCAATGGTGCTTTTTCTCAAAGGCTATATTTTGATAATTAATATTTAAACATATCTTTAACAAAGTTTGATGAAACTTTCCTGAAATTGAATGTAAAGTTTTTGCGTATGACCCCCCCCCCCCTCCACATGATATGAATCATATCAAGGGTTGTATATTTTCTACCAATATCATTCCCCCCCATTTTTAAATATCATTCTAATACATGATATGAATCAACTGCGTAAACGCGTGGTTCGACCACTTCTCTTCAGCTTGAAGAGTCTGCTTGATTCAGCTTACATCTCGCTTTTTATTAAATCTGGTCCTGCGGATGACATTTTATAAGGTTTTTCCAATTTTTTTTCAAAAATAATTTCCGGTCACCTAAAATATTTTTAAAAAAAGGTAAAAAAGTTTACAGATTTAAAAAAAAATTATAAAAATCAATCCATTTAATTCCAATGATTGACAGCTGGGAAAACCTGTTATCTTATTCCTGGAGAAGATAAGCAGAATTATGATGATGCTAAGAAAAATTGTAAAAAGTAGTAAGTATCAATTATAAAGATGCTAAGAATAAGTGTAAAAAGTAAATATAAATTATGAAGATGCCAAGAATAAGTTGAAAAAGTAAGTATCAATTAAGAAGATGGTTAGAATAAGTGTAAAAAGTAAGTGTATCAATTATTAAGATGCTCAGAATAAGTTTAAAAAGTAAATATCAATCATGATGATGATAATAATAAGTGTAAAAAGTAAGTATCAATTAAGATGATGATAAGAATAAGTTTAAAAAGTAAGTGTATCAATTATGAAGATGCTCAGAATAAGTTTAAATAGTAAGTTTCAATTATGAAGATGCTTAGAATAAGTGTAAAAAGTAACTATCAATTATGATGATGCTAAGAATAAGTGTAAAAAGCAAGTATCAATTTAGATGATGCTAAGATTAAGTGTATTAAGTAATTTTCCATTAAAATACTAAATGATGAACTTGTACATATTTGTCAGATTAAATTTTTATTTAGCCATTGTGATTATTGTAAACATAAACCTTTTTAAAACTAGAAACCATTACATAAGCATAACTCCCCCCCCCCNCTGGGCCTGGACTATCGAATAGGGCAAAAAGCTCAATTTTGCACGTTGATTGCAGAAATTCAAATACTGCCAATTTTGAAAGACCACACCCAAATCCTTGAAGCATCATAGGTAAAGTCAAATGTTTACAATGTATATAATAAGGAAATTTGACAAAACTCTTTAAACCTACATTATTCTATCAACCAGAGGCTGTTTACCTGGAAGACCTGCTTTGGATATGGGTACGAGCTTGATTTTCAAGGTCCTGCCTGACGCCCATGGACACAGCAAGAACAGCTGTGCTCTTGCCAAACCAAAACCCATTCTCTGCTTTAAGAAATTCTAGGGCCTTGCTTACTTATGCAGAAAAGACTACTCTTCCAAGAGTTCAGGCGGGCTTCACAAGCTCTGTTTGTGTTACCACCAGGAATGAGAACCTAATCCCCTCTCCGCTGTGGACGCGACTCTATCTGAACAAACATAGAACACTGCTCCATTGAACAATGCTTCCGCTATACCTTTGGGTTGACTGACTCGTGTTCAATGGCTGTACACACAAAACCCATCTCCACATCGATCCTCTAGGGCCTCCCTGGAGTATTTGCTACTACCACGAGCGGGGGAAGGCAGGCGGCCATGAGCCATCACTATTTCCCCTTCCGTGCCACATATTAGCTTTTTTTCTCTTCCGGCAGCCATGAGCCACCACTATTTCCCCTTCCGTACCTCCACATTTGACTGTTCCGGGCATGTATAAGGTATGCCGGAGTGTTTAGCTCCCAAGGTATAAAGGGTTGAACTGTTTCACATGTATTTATTCTATTTATTCCTACACAATTATAATGGTACAATTTAAAATCAACAAGGAATGAGATATATAACATATAAAATATAGAATAAAATATATATTGTTTTAATCTTTAATGAAATACTATCTTAACTTTCTGTAGTTAATAAGCTGATGCAGGTTAGATGAAAATCTATGCTAGAAAGTCAATGGAAAAAATATATGGGGAAAACCCTGTGGAAAAATTCTTGTATTATATCCTCAATTATATGATGTGGATGGGAAACGGAAATGTAAGAGACTTTAATTCCAATTTTTCTCCTTGAATTGTTTAGGTGATTATTATGGTGTTTACTCGCTTTGCACACCTCTCTATCTGTAGCTTTTAATTTTTCTTTAATGGCATTCTATTATTCTTGACATAAATTAATGTTAGATTTTTTTTTAACTTTTCTAGTTTTATTCATATTATTTGCTCATTATTCTTATTAGACATGCTGCTAAAAAGTTGGTATGTTTTTGCTTTAAATACAGTGTATCTATGAAATTGTAGACAAAAATACAAAGTAAATTAAAAATTCACGGCGATAAACAGACAAAAGGAAGAAGACAACAATCATTCTACAATTTATTGGTTATTACTGTTTTCTTCTAGTGAAAACGGAGTTCTGCCAGTGGTATCAAAGGATAGTTTGCCTGTTCTTGAGGACTGGCTGAAAAAACAGGACAAATATAAGGTAAGTCTTTATAATCCATAGAATAAAACAAGACATTCCTATATATGTTCCCTAAAGCCGGCCAAACCGCTAGACTGAATGGGCTGAAATTTTTTTAGGGAACCCATGGGTACCCTGGGGCTAGGCAGAGGCTAAAAAATTCTAAAAATTTTATTGTTCAAAAATCGAAATATTTTTTTAAGTATAATCTACCTCTAAAAAAAGCTGTTTATTATTTAATTCAGGAACATTTTTGGTGGCTAGGGATAAAATACAATGACACAGAACAAGCGTTTTTGTGAGTAAATTTTACTATTTTTTTTCTTTGAAACGAAAAAAAAATTATTTAAAATTTTTTTGTTTGGTCAAAATTTATCAATTAAGGTCACATTAAAGTACACTTACAGTCCCTTCAACCCTATCCCTGCATGGTTCCTCAAAACTAGGCCAGGGGAGGGGGGAGGGTCAAATCCGTAGTTTTAAAGATAAATATGACAAATAATACAATTTTTTCACTTTTTTGCACAATATTCCATACACATATGGCATACATACATAAGTTTACATTTCTGGAAAGCATCTAACCTGACTATTTCAAAAATGATGAAACATTCTTAAATAAAGAAACTTTTTTTGAAAAATGTTGCGAAAATTATGCAAAAAGTTTGCAAAAGCAGTTTGCTTATACGTTCTTCATATGTTATTATATCCTAGAATGTATGTCATGGAAACAGGCCTATTTCAGGCAGTAGGCCTGGACCCTCAGTCAGTCATCAACAATTTTAATTTTTTTCATAGATTTAGAAAAAAAATATTTAGAAAAAGTCAAAGTCAGCAGGATTAGGGTTTACCAATTATACTATTATTATAATATTATTATATTATAAAGATTTATTACCACACAAAGATATACATACATATATAAATGGTGTATGGTTTAAATTTGTTTAGATATTTTGAAAATATAGTTGTACAAAAGAAAAACAAATTTGCAAATTTATGCACAAATAGGTGACATTGATCAGTACTCATTACATAACATATTTATCATTTCAGTTATTACGTAATCATCGAATCTTTCAACAAATAAGTTATTTGTTCTTGTATTTAAAAGTTCTTGTAAAACCGGAACTTTCCATGCTTAGAGCAGCATTATGCTGTATACAATTTTAAAACACATTGGGAACTCAAGTCCCAAATACTAGATCCATAAAAACTATAAAAATAAATAGTACACAGTTTCTAAATAACATCAGGACTGTTAAAGTAAAATTCTTGGTTAAGGGAATGAATTTTTGAAATGAAAATAGCTTGTTTTTTATTGAAAATATGGTCATTGAATCAAATTTTTTTGGGGAGTTTTTAATGATTTTTAAAACAATGTTTGGTTTGGTTTTACAGTGGTATATGGTTGTTTTTATTACATTGTCAATCCAATGGCATCCAATAGTTGAATAGCGTAATAACTTGATAACTTTGTCAATGTATTTACTATATACAAAATAACACAGGGGAAAAAACTGCTCCTTGTCTGATTCCATTGAAGGTATTTGAGAAAGCATTACCCATCTAACATTACATGTTTGGCTTAAGTAAATAAACACCTTAATGCTAGAGGTGAAACACCCCTCTCCAATAACTCTGTGAAGAGCACTTCCCATGACACAAGATCAAATGCCTTACTCAGATCCATTGCACAAGCATAAACTGCTCTACCAGCTCTGTTGTAATAATCCACTACAGAGTTGACCCCCAGCTGCACATTGTTGTACTGGCTAGCTTCTAAAAACCAAACTGAAGCTCATCTGCGTTCAGCTTATCAGAGTTCACAATTAATATCAACTACTCAAACCATGTTTTATCATAGAATGTTTTATTATAATTTATTTATTATAATTTCAACTGTGAAGGATTGAGGATACAACCCGGGTAACCGATCTAGAGATTGATATGACAAATCCATCGGATACCTGTTTAATTATTCGGATTCGCTATTCAAGTTCAAGCTTGGTAAGTCATGAATAATACAGTTTTTACTTCAGACACACATGCCTTTTCAGGCTTAAACTCATTTGTCATTAACTCTAGATTTGGAAAGTAGTTGAAGTTTTTAATCAGAAAACAAGGGAACGGAGGCATACTCTCAATTCTATGGGGGGGGGGGNGGGGGGGGAGGGTATTTTCAGAAAATTACTAACACTATGCCCTTGGTGGCAAAGAACAAATTGTGTATGCTTGTGCGTCGCAGAAGGGCTTAAACCTCTGAACTTGCTTGTTTTGTCTAGAATGTATGGAAAATTGGTTGTGATAAAAAGGAATTTTACTCTGATAAGCAGCAAGTGCTGTGTGAAGGTATATTATTTACATTTCTTGATTGAATTGATAATTAAATATGTCTTGCAAAATTTGCATGACCTATTAGTTTTAGTTAACAAGAGTTTATTCATAATTGTAGAATTCAAGTTTAAAATAAAAACAATTAAGTCAAGATATTTAAGATTTGATATTATGTTGTGAACACTAGATTTAATTGTAACCCTATGAGTTGCATGCTTCATACCTTTTAAACCTTTTTTAAATCTTAGTAAAAAGGGGAAAGATATTGTCGTTTTTCCGTCAGATAACACGTTGAATTCTGACAATTTTTTCATTTTTTCTATAGCATATATCCATGATAATATTTTTGAGAGAAATAGATGAGCATGGGTATATCATTGATCAGACAAAGGCCAGGTTAAAGGGTTCACCAGACAATCACTCAATACTGCAGTCCCCTTTAGTTATTGAAGTAAGGCCTATGTTAAACTATCCGGGTAACTTTCTGGAAATCCACATTGCATTTTAGATACATTTTTTTAAAATATTTGAAAATTTGCATAAAAATAATTTCAAATTTATGTATGTATTTTGCTTTTTGAAGAAAATCAAATTTAAAAAAATTTATCAAATTAAATCAAAAGTATAAAATTGCCGTCGTCAAACATTGAGTTCAGAAAGGATAAATTCCATGAGAATTAAGAAAATCATATAAATATAAAAAATAGTTTTTTAGCCTTAAATAAAACAATTTCAAAATATTAATAATCAGACAAATCGACCTCCCCTTTCGATCATCTGTTTTTTTTCTAAATTGTTAAATGCTGAATGAGTTTTGATTTTAAGATATTTTTCTGTTATATATGTAACTTACAATTTTTTTCTGGTGCAAAAAGGATGTGAAATTTTTTATTAAAAAGAATCACCCTTAGCTGAAGTTGATTTTAGACTGTTTGTATTTGAATAAATAAAATGTTTAGCGGTCCCAATTATAAATGCTACCACAGTGAAAAAGATGTCCTCTCTCCATTGTGCTGAAAAAGTGTCTGATATTGATAACTTCTGCTACCATCATGTGGATGCTGTGTGTGGTTCTGGATGTGATTTTAAATCAGCTGAGCAGATTTGTGATTACGTAGAAGGAAATACCATCGAACTAAGACCTAGCGGAAATGGCGCCACTATCGATTCTATTTTAAAAGTCAAATCTGAAACTCCATTTTGGATTGATCTGAAGGCGGATGTAAAGCAAAGGCGGTTTATTTGGAACTCTGATGGCGCCTACTTGAAACCAGAGCTAAATGATCCTCTTTGGAAACAAGATCCGGTAAATATTCTGCAGTTTGGATTTATCTTCTTTTCTTTTTTTCCTTTTTTCATGTATTCTTGTATCAAGCTTTGTATCTATCTTTGTATAAAGTTTTGGATCTACATTTGTATAAAGCTTTGTATCTATCTTAGTATCAAGTTTTGTATCTATCTTAGTATCAAGTTTTGGATCTATCTTTGTATTAAGCTTTGTATCTATCTTTGTATCAAGTTTTGGATCTACATTTGTATCAAGCTTTGTATATATCTTTGTATCAAGTTTTGTATCTATCTTAGTATCAAGTTTTGGATCTACCTTTGTATCAAGCTTTGTATCTATCTTTGTATCAAGCTTTGTGTCTATCTTTGTATCAAGCTTTGTATCTATCTTAGTATCAAGTTTTGGATCTATCTTTGTATTTAGCTTTGTATTGATCTTTCTATCGAGCTTTGTATCTAGTTTTGTACAAAGCTTTGTATCTAGCTATCTTTGTATCAAGCTTTATATCTAGCTATCTTTGTATCAAGATTTGCATATGTCTCCTTGTTTCAAGATTTGTATCTATCTTTGTATCAAGCTTTGCATGTATCCTTGTATTTAGCTTTGTATTGATCTTTCTATCGAGCTTTGTATCTAGTTTTGTACAAAGCTTTGTATCTATCCTTGAATCATCTTTGCTTTAAGCTTTGTATCTACTATTGCATCAAGCTTTGTATCTATCTTTGAATCAAGTTTTTGATCTATTTTTATTTCAAGCTTTGTGGCTATTTTTGTATCAAGGTGTGTATCTATCTTTGTATCAAGTTTTGTATCTAGATTTGTTACTATCCTTGTATCTATCTTTGCTTTAAGCTTTGTATCTACTATTGTATCATGCTTTGTATCTATCTTTGAATCAAGCTTTGTATCTATTTTTGTATCAAGCTTTGTATTTATCTTTGTATCAAGCTTTGTATCAATTTTTGTATCAAGCTTTGTACAAATCTTTGTATCAAGCTTTGTATCTATCTTTGTATCAAGCTTTATTACTATTTTTGTATTAAGCTTTGTACAAATATTTGTATTAAGCTTTGTATCTATCTTTGTATCAAGCTTTATGACTATTTTTGTATTAAGCTTTGTACAAATCTTTGTATCAAGCTTTGTATTTATCTTTGAATCAAGCTTTGTATCTATTTTTGTATCAAGCTTTGTATTCATCTTTGTATCAAGCTTTATGGCTATTTTTGTATTAAGCTTTGTACAAATCTTTGTATCAAGCTTTGTATCTATCTTTGTATCAAGCTTTATTACTATTTTTGTATCAAGCTTTGTACAAATCTTTGTATTAAGCTTTGTATCTATCTTTGTATCAAGCTTTATGACTATTTTTGTATTAAGCTTTGTATTTATCTTTGTATCAAGCTTTATTACTATTTAAGCTTTGTACAAATCTTTGTATTAAGCTTTGTACAAATCTTTGTATTAAGCTTTGTATCTATCTTTGTATCAAGCTTTATGACTATTTTTGTATTAAGCTTTGTATCAAGCTTTGTATCTATCAATGGCCTATTTATGCAAAAGAGGTTACATGACATTGCGGTAGGTTTTTTTATATAAATTGTCCCAACATAAATGTATCTTCCTTTATCATTTTATTCTACTCTCGCAACTAATTTTGTTTCTATAATTTTTTTATTTTCTGTTTTTTCAATTACATTATTTATATTTTTAATCAAAAAATTTTAAATCTCAAACCTATTAATAGCGCGAAGAATAAAAATCCGTAATTTTGTTGTTGCAGGTTAAAGAAAACTCCTGTGTAGTCATGTTTAAAGGAGAATTAAAGGTTGTTCTGTGTACTGCAACGCAGGTGGATGGGACTTCAGTATCAGCTGTTTGCCAGAAACGTAAATATGTTCTGCTATAATTTTGAAACTTTTCCCAAATCTTTATAAACAGGGGCGTATTCAGGAATTTGTCCAGGGGAGGCTTAATTTTTTTCTCTCCAGGGGATACTCAGCACCTGTTGGGTCCTTAAAACCATTTTTAAAAAACATAAAAATTCCTTGGTCCAGGGGGACTAAGCCCCCTAGCCCCCCCCCCCCCCCCCTCCTGAATAAGCCTCTATTTATATGGGAAGAATCTTATCAAATCTATTTAGTATCTACAATTTGGATCCTTTAGGTGTCACGTGTAAAATTACTGGTTCAGTCGATGGAACAGTAATAGGTATATGGAAACAATAAATTTTAATATATTTATGTATATATACAGTGATATACAGTGATAACCAGAAAACTTTGGAATAGGAAGACGGCTTTAAGAATCAAGTTATAACTATAAAAAGTCAAATGAGCACGAACCACAGCAATGGGGCAGTGTAAATAGACCCATTTCACTTAATTAGTGTCAAGCCAAACTATTTGCTCTGTAACAACATCAAATGCACTTAAGCATTGCTATAATCTCGTCTTCATATTCCATTGTTTTCTGGTTATCACTCTTTATATATTTATATGTCCATATTTTTACCTTTTTTGCTACATTAAAAAATGGGTTTCCAATTTGGAACACTTTCTTTTCGTGATGTTCCTAACATTTTTTTGATTTTATCTTTTAATTACGCATTTTTTCATCTTATATGTTTAAAAGTACGTACAAAAAGGCTAAAACTTTCGTCCTGTCATTTGTGCCTTGCTTTTCTAATGACATAATTGACCTGAAAATGAATATTAACAATCCCGATAATGTCTCAAAACTTTTTGAGCAATTACGTAAATTCTTTCTTCCTAGAAACTAAAGAACTGGATTGTAGTAAAGCATGGACAGATTGTCAGAGGGAATGTGAATCTAAGATTGGTTGCACACACTGGACATTCGAGGATCGGGAGAACGATCAAAATAAAAAATCTTGTATTCTTTACAAGGAATTTACTTCCTATATTCTTGGTAATGATTACAAGCTTACAAGTGGGGCAGTATTTTGTATAAAACAAGGTAAGTTTCTGCAGTGTTGCGCTTTCGTTTAATTTTTGATTTTGTTTAGAGTGTTAGGCTTTTAGAGAAAAATTCTATTTTAATTTTACGCGGTGTTCAAGGGGTTGGTCAACAGATTGTTTTGTAAAGTAAAATTTCTAGAAAATCCTGAATCAGACAGTTTTGTACAAAGTGCGCTACGTTCTTCAGTATAAGTCGTTTTTAACAACTTTCTCCTTATAGACGCAACAGATAGGAGTAAAATTAGTAGTTATCAAAGGCGATTATTTTTCGCCGTAAGCCTATACCCCCCTTTCATTTTCGCGAACACTCCCTGTAATGCGAGAAAGTTTTTAAGGATCTCTTTGTGAATCGGATATGCCACTCTATCAATGGAGGGTCACTTGAAATTACGATTACTCACCCTTTAAATTGTATTTTAAACAAACCTTCTACTCGATAAATATACTATATTGAATTAATGTTAGCTGGCTGTACTCCTGCTGATCCTTATATCATCAAGAGTCTGGAAGAAGAAGGGTTGTCTAATCAAGCGAAAAATTTTCTCTTTGTATCAAGCTGTCAGGCTCCAGAGTATTGGCTTGCACCACAGACTTCAACCGTAGATCCGTATTTTGTTCTGGGTAAAATTTTGTAAAGAAACAAATTACTCTCCTCAAATGTTAAATGTTCAATCATAGTGGAACCTTTGATATTTCAATGAGATACACTACTTAGTGTTATGATAAACCACCACGTTTTTGCCTCAGAGATTTAAAATGGATTTCAAATTGATGTTTTGTGACTGAGGGCGTAATTTCCTCTCAGAGTTATTTGATAAGACTAAGATTGTAATTTTAGTACAGTGGTAGGCGATTATATCAATACAATGAAGACGATTTTTTATTTAGGTTTTGATTGTTCACGAGCTTTTTTTCGAATTAAAAGTTAATACAAGTAATAAAAAGAAAGCTTTTTTTATTGACAGCTCAATTTGTTTTAATTTTTATGTGTATCCATGCCGTTCAACAGCTTGATATAAATAAAAATTGAAATTGAAGTCGTTTTCATTGTATTGATATAATCACCTACCAATGTACTGAAATTACAATTATCTTAATGTAATCAGTCTCTTTTTTGTTTGTAAGAACTTTAATTTAGATTATTCGTGTCAAAGAAACGTTGGAAACATTATTATGAAGATAATTAAGGAAGCTCCAGGACCCTTCAAAGTTAATTTTGAGCTGTCTACTGATCTGAGAACTTGGACGGATATGGGGAATATAGATCTTACAGACACAGAGACAGAGGTAAGCATCATCAAAAGTGTGTGTGAAATAGATCTTACTGACACAGAGATATGAAAAGGGAATTTGATCCTTAATCTGATCCTTACCTTGATCCTTAATTTAATCATTAACTTTATCCCTAATTTGATCCTTAATCTGATCCTTACCTTGATCCTTTATTTAATCATTAACTTTATCCCTAATTTGATCATTAATCTGATCCTTACCTTGATCCTTAATTCAATCATTAACTTTATCTCTAATTTGATCTTTTATCTGATTCTTACCTTGATCCTTTATTTAATCATTAACTTTATCCCTAATTTGATCCTTAATCTGATCCTTACCTTGATCCTTAATTTAATCATTAACTTTATCCCTAATTTGATCCTTAATCTGATTCTGACTTAATTCTCAATCTGATCCTTAACTTAATCCTTAACTTGATTCTTAATATCTAGTTAATCATGAAAATGTTTTAGAACTGCAAGATGGGTTTGATAAAAGGCATTTTGTCTGGTGCAAAATTTCGATATTTGAAGTTGACCGCAAAAAGACCTCAAGATTCTTCGCGACTAGGACTTGAGAGTTTCAGAATGCTCTCGTTGAATTTAGGTAATATATATATATATAGGTCTCAATAGTTGGTACTTTTTTTATAAAAGATTTATTATTACTCGCCACAAATTCTACTTTTGAACTTTTCAATTACTTTTCTTTGTTTAATCTTTAAGTGAAAACTCTTGATATTTCACACTTTGACTATTTGATCTAACATAATTCTTAATTGGAAATAGCAACAGTCTGTTTTACAAGGAAAACTTTTTCATCTTCTAGACATGAACTCAAATTTTCAAATCCATATATGTTTTTAAACTGATGGTGTAAACCTTTGATAATTTAAGCTTAAAGTTTAGATCTTGTAAAATTCGTAATTAAACAAATGAAAGGTTACGACATCACAAGATGAAAATATATAAGTATTAGAAAAGTAAAGATTGCGGCGAGCAATCATTGTATTTATTAATAGTAATGGTCTTATTTATATATGCAGTATATGAAACAAATTTATGTATTGCAGATGATTGCTCTAATGATAACATAGATCTGATTGGAAAGATTGATTCTTCAAAAGTTCCAGATTTAGAATCAGATAGAAGCTGCTCGGAGGTAAATATTTAGAAATAGAAAGAACCTGCTCGGAGGTAAATATTTAGAATCAGATAGAACCTGCTCGGAGGTAAATATTTAGAATAAGATAGAAGCTGCTCGGAGATAAATATTTAGAATCAGATAGAACCTGCTAGTAGGTAAATATTTAGAATCAGATAGAACCTGCTCTGAGGTAAATATTTAAAAACAAATAGAACCTGCTCGGAGGTAAATATTTTGAATCAGATAGAACCTGTTTGTAGGTAAATATTTAGAATTAGATAGAACCTGATCGGAGGTAAATATTTAGAAACAGATAGAAACTACTCGGAGGTAAATATTTAGAATTAGACAGAACCTGCTCGGAGGTAAATATTTAGAAACAGATAGAACCTGCTCGAAAGTAAATATTTAGTATTGTAGAGAAATTTTTTAGGATTCATTTGAGACATATAAAACGCTTGAATTAATTTATAATTAATGAGTTTGAGCGCAAAATTCACGTTCAAAATCGTCCATTTGGGTGCAGGTTAAGTTTTGAGAATCGATTTTTTTCAAATTATTAAATAACGATGACAAAAAATGTAAAAAAAATTGTCAATAAACTAATTGAATGTTTAGGAACATATTTCTCAAAAAATAAATTGTCAATAAATCAATGTTAGAATCAGTTATTAATTAGAATCAATGTTTTATCATTATAATTAATTTCTTATTCTTTACGAATTTGTTTGCAGATTTCTTAGAGAAACAAATAACTGAATAAGATTTCTTATTTTCGATAATAAGAATCAATTTTTATTTTCTCACCCTATTCCTAAACATATATTTGGTTTACTGTAGAATTTTTGTTACAATTTTTGTCGTCGTTATATAATAATTTTTTTAATCGATTCTCAAGACGAAACCCCAAAAGGATTATTTTGAACGAGGACTTTGCGCTCAAACTCAGTGATTGTACATCATTATAAAGTTATATATGTCTCGAATGAATCCTAATAAAATACTTTACACAATACTATATTCTCCGTTCAACTATCATACATTGCCGCGGTCACTCCCTTTAATAGTATATCATTTACATTTGAGGTCATTTGAGTTACCAAAGAAATTTTGTTTGATCTGGATACAAACAGACAGACTACCCAAATATATATATAGATTAATATAGATTATGGCCTTCAGTGATGGGTAATTTGATTTTTTCACTGTTTTTTTCTCAGCATTGCTGGATCAATACAACGTGTCATGCTTGGTCCTTTAACGAGACTAGCAAGGAGTGTTCACTGATGTCTGGGTTTCAAGATACGGAAAGAAAGAATTCAATAAAATCAGGACTTAGTTGCTTAGCCCCTCCAGGTCAAATCATAGAGAATAGAATATATAGAGAGGAATTAAAAGAATCTCTCGGTATGAATTTTTTCAGTCCCTTTCAGCCTGAAAGGGAGTTCAAAGTGTACAAATCATGTAAATGTTCACAAATTATATTCTGTAGAGTACATTAATACAGTATGTTTCCTAGACTATCCATTTCAATTTCTAATTTTTTAAACTGTTAAATAAACTTTATAATGAACTAGCCTTAGAGGGCGCTTCGCGCCCATCTTCTAAATATATTGTGAACATGTTCTCTTTGTGTACATCGTAAAACAAAACAAAAATAATTCGCGGATTTTCACAAAAAATTTCGCGGATTTTCAAAATTTTAAAAAATTTAATGACGATCGAATTTTGATGGAGACAAATATTTGAAATTTTGATGATTCATAAACCTTCCCTGGAGTCCCTAGATGACCCACAAAAAATTTGGGCCCGATCGGTTCAGCCGTTTTGACGTTTATTGGATACAAACAAACAAACAGACAGACAAACAGACAAGCCAAATTTATATATAGATAGATTAGGTGAATAAAAACATCATTTGATTATAGTTATAACGGAAAATCATAGTTTGTAAAGTGGAAGGCATAGAGTCTATGTGAAATGATCATTGGTCAATTATGAAACCAGCCTATTTCATAATTTGGTTTTCTTTTAACAATAATTTTAGATTTTCTATAAAATGATATTCCAGGGCCCTACAGGTTATATAGCATAAATATGTGAAGTACACCTGCAGTATAAATTCCTCTCTATATATTCTATTCTCTATGGGTTAAATTTACTAAATTCATTTGATGGCGATAATTTGAAGGATGGACAAATCCGATAGAAAATCCTATTTTCAGTTTGTGGGCCGGGATTCATCCTGAACCACGGAACTATTTCTAATGTTCTTCCTCCAACAGAAGAGAGAGTTCAGGAATCCTTTGTCTGTGGAAGAAAATGTAAAGAAGATACAAAATGTATAGGATATATTTATGATTTTAAGCAAAAAACTTGTTTTTTTTTCACTGATGGAACTAACGGTGGAACAGGAAATGATGTAGTTTCTACGACAAAGGTTCAATGTTCAATTGTTCCATCAACAGATGTAACTGTAGAAACGCCAGCTAAAGTGGCAACAACTACAACAGCTACAACAACTACAGCAGCTACAACAACTACAACAGCTATAAAAACTACAGCAGCTACAACAACTACAACAGCTACAACAACTACAGCAGCTACAACAACTACAATAACTACAACAGCTACAACAACTACAGCAGCTACAACAACTACAACAGCTACAACAACTACAGCAGCTACAACAACTACAATAACTACAACAGCTACAACAACTATAGCAGCTACAACAACTGCAACAGCTACAACAACTACAGCAGCTACAACAACTACAACAGCTACAACAACTACAGCAGCTACAACAACTACAATAACTACAACAGCTACAAGTGCAACATCCATAACAACTACAACAGCTACGACAACTACAGCAGCTACAACAACAACAACTGTAAGAAAGTCTAGATGTAAGTAAAGGTTTATTTTAAGGGTTTGAGAAAATTACGTATGCAAATTAAAGATTCGTTAAAAATTAGGTTTACTGCAATGCGAAAGTATAAATACGTTTAGCTGCCAGTGAAAATCCACATTGCTATAATGCTACTATTACCTTCTAGAAGTCATGAGTTGAATATTTTTTATATAGAAACATTGGATAGTACTGATTAGATACATAATTTTTTTTGCAAATATAAATCAATTAAAAAATTATGACTTATATTATAATTTTCTAAAAAATTGCTTTAAACGAAAAAACATCGAAGAAAAAAATCTATCACATTTTATCCACCATTTTTCTCTGGAAAAACGGAGCTTATAAAATGAAAATATGCCTGATATTTCACTAAATAATAATATAAAATAAAATAAACTAAATATTTGTAGTTAACTATAATAGGGACACATGAATAATGGATATTCATCAAACTATGTTTCTTCATTCCAATATTTTGATTTCAAACATCAACACGACTTTTAATCTTTTGCATGTTTTCATGGCATTTTCAAAATAAAATAATGTTTTTTCTTCATATAGTAGATAACCTTAAGATGCAGAAACTTAAATTCTTGCCACAATTCAGATAAGGTGACAGAAAAAATGGTAATTTCAGCATGTTTTAAGTGTAAAAATGGTAATTTCATCATGTTTTAAGTGTAAAAATGGCAATTTCATCATGTTTTAGGTGTACAAATCTGAAAATGTAAAAAACGTAAACCGGTTTTGAGCCGTTTTGTCTTTCTTATTTATACTTTAAGATTTTCATTAAAGAGTTTAATTGTAGAATCTATTATTGGCAAAATTCCAGTTCGTCTTGCTTCATACATTTTAATCAGAATATAGTGTAATCAGTTGTATTCTCTACACATTTATACATTTATAAATATCTATCCTACATATTTTTGTATATTTTTTTATACAGAGGGTCTAATTATTTTTATATTTTACTTACAATATTACAGGTACAGGTACAGGTACAGGTACAGGCACAGGTATTGAATATTAGTTTAGTGTTTTAGAAAGGTTTAAAATGATGTTTTCTCTCTTCATCTTGTTTTATCTGAGCCTGTTCCTAGGAATAGGTTTGGTGTACAGGTAAATACAGAGAATATACCAAAAACCTCATTTTGGAAAGGAACTGATTACTCTCCCACAGAAATCCAGAGAGCTATGCAGATAATTTATAATTTTATTTAGACCGGGTAGGCTTTGAAGTGTCGAAAACTTTAGTCTTTGGTTTTACATTACTAATTATCCTTTTTTTAGCCCTACAATTTAAAACACATCGCGTTTGTTTCTGGCTTTCGTTTAAAAGGAGTAATTGGCAAAATTCTGACGTATTTTGCTTAAAAGCATGCTCACTTTGGATTACTGTGCTACACATACCATAACTCCAAAACTTTTTGCAACTATTGATATTTCAAACTTGATATCAATATTTGATCTAGACGAATTTTGTGGTTAAAATATTAAAGGTCTACCATATTAGAGCTGGGAACTTTTGAGTTGGATACTCATAATCACAAAGCATGATCTCTATATCTACTGGAGAAACTTTTAATTTCTGGATCAATGCTTAATCTCTTCATTTTAATTATTTCTCCAGGGTAGAAATGCAGGATTTCAAATAGAATAAACGTATCTTCAAATTAACAAAAGTACGAGATCAAGCATTGATCTTGATCTCCAAAATACAAGAGTTCCCAACTCAGGTTGCAAAGATATAATGATTAGAAAGTGGATGTAATCAGTTCCTTTGATAAAACATATTTTGATACATGCATTGAATTTTAATATAGATAAATGCAACAATAAGTTTTTTATATTTGTTTACAAAAAAGTGTACTGCTGTTTTTAGAGCAAATTACATAAACAAAGTCAGTGCTGCATAAACTGGTACTTGTTTATATTCACCTAAGAAACTGCAGTACACATATCATGTAAATCTACTTTTCCTTGGATAAAAATTTAAGTTGGAAAAAAGCCGATCAACGCATGATTTGATTATGCTTCGATTCTGACTCCTCTTTCAAAATTAACGCCCTCTGCAATAGATTAATTAACAATATCAGATAGGACACTAGATGTCGTCTTTTCAAGATTTATGGATTTTTCGATCACAATAACCCTGAGGTTTCAGCCCAAAGGAGTTACGCGCATGCGGCTTGCATTATACAGACAGAGAGAGATTGAGCATACGCGTAACTCCTTTGGGCCTCTGCTTCGTGGTTATTGTGAACCAAAAACTTGAAAAGACGACATATAGTGTTCTATCTGTTATTGTTAATTAATCTATGCCCTATGCAATTTAAATATTTTTTTAATGATTTTCTTAATGCTATATTTAAGACGTTCTGATATACAATAATTTCTCCTTAATGTTGATTTTAATGTTTAGATGTCAGTTTCATAATCTAAATAATATATAATCCCATTCTTCTTGTTCATAAAGTTAATCTTATTTCTTAATTGCCATGTACGTACTATAGGATATTTTCGTTAAAACTTTTATTTTAATTCAAATAATAATGTTTTATACTTTAAGGTTTGTTTTATTCGATGATGCTGGTTGGAGGGAAAGGTTTGAGTGCATCTGTTCCTATTCTGATGATTTCTCCAGGTTTGCTGTTCTACCAACCAGTTTCATTCTTGGCGGCCATCTTGTGCAGGTTCGAACGCATCATTTTGTATTTTTTAAGTTGATTTATCATTCCTTGCACTTGTAAAAATTTTCCGGGTGATTTTGGAACTTCGAACAATTTCGATATGGACGATATTGGATTGCTCATAGCGCTAGCTAGAGCTCTCCATTTGGAATTTGAGCAGAAACATACTTTTTTTAAGAAGAAAAGATTGTTGTCTTTGTCTGTTACTTTTTTGCGACGATATTTTGAGAAAAAAATTCAAAATTTAAATTACGGTAAAGTTATTTAAAAAAAAGGTAGAATCAAGTTGGCGGTAATTTGCCCGGGAATCCATTTAATTGAAATCACTTATTTTATTTTTGGCGGCAATTATGCTTAAGTAAATAATCTATGTTTGCTTAATATTTGAGGTTTTATTATTTTAAGTTTGCTTTTCTGCTCATATCTTTATTCAAGCCTTTATTTCTATTAATTTAGCATGTTTGCCCGCAGACCATTTTTATTTAAACATTTAAAAATATTAAACGGTTTTTAGGTTATTTCAAGATGTCCTGTAGAATTACTCTGTGTCCTATGCATTGCAGAAGCAAACTTTCTCGCATTTTATTCAAAATCCAGGTTAAATCCAGTCAAAATTAATATTATATAAATCAAATATCTTACCCCCTTCCAAAAAAAAAAATTTTTTAGTTTACAGAGATTTTGTTTGGCACAGTTAACCAAGGGAACATGAAAAAAATCATTAAAACCATAATAAAAACATCATATTCTTAAGAGTTTTTGAAACAAACGCAAATTTTCAAGTCCCTAAATCTTTGCAACAATGTAAGCCTTTAATATTTCAAACAAAGACTATTTCATTTCATCTAACCCTGATCACAAAGGTTACAACAACGGATTCCAAAGATATTTACAAAGACTTTTTTTATTTCATCGTATCCATATTTATAGTTTTAAATAACAAAGACTATTTCATTTCATCTAACCCTTTTACGGGTTACAAAGATATTTAGGGCTTAGAAAATCAGAGTTTGTGGTAAAACTCATTTTCTTTGTGTTCTCTGGACTTGTGGGTCTTAATTTGTCTTCTATATTGCTCAACCAATTAAACCAAAAGGTCGTCTTAATTCTCAAGTTCTCATAAACATCGTGACTTTCTAAAATAAATTAGAGCCTGGAATAATGGATGGATAGAGCTTAGTCAATTACAAGAGTATTGAATCGGTTCTCTTAAAGGTCAAATCTAAATCTCTTAAAGGTCAAATCTAAATCTCCTAATGGTTAAATCTAAATCTCTTAAAGATCAAATCTAAATCTCTTAAAGGTTAAATCTAAATCTCTTAAAGGTCAAATCTAAATCTCTTAAAGGTCAAATCTAAATCTCTTAAAGGTCAAATCTAAATCTCCTAAAGGTCAAATTTAAATCTCTTATAGGTCAAATCTAAACCTCTTAAAGGTCAAATCTAAACCTCTTAAAGGTCAAATCTGAATCTCTTAAAGGTCAAACCGAAATCTCTTAAAGGTCAAATCTAAATCCCTGAAAGGTCAAATCTAAATCTCTTAAAGGTCAAATCTAAATCCCTGAAAGGTCAAATCTAAATCTCTTAAAGGTCAAATCTAAATCTCTCAATGGTCAAATCTAAATCGTTTCTAAAATCTTTAATTTGTTTCTAGCTGTCTCTTGTTCAGGGATTAGGTTTTTTTTTAACGTTTTGTTGATCAGAACTGAGGATTCGAAATGCGTTGAATTCAAAAGTTTTAAAGTTTTTAAGGTTTACAAATTATTATTATTCATTTTAATTTACTTTAGTTTTCTTTCGACTTTATTTTTTTCACAACTTACACTTGAATATATAATCGATGTTCATGTTTGAAGACGATAGAAATATTTTCTAAGATTGAAAGAAGTGTGAAGATCAGTCATGGTTCCATGTTCCCCATCTTCATTCACGTTAAGGTGCAGTCTTGTAAAGAGTTTGTTGGAAATTTTTGTTGCAATCATTTAATTTTCATTTAATCATATTTTAATTCTACACTACTTTATGTCAGCTATAATAATATGATATTGATAAAGGACTTGAGTCTTGGCCACAAAATCTGATTTTCTAATCCCTATCCAATTGTCGCAGATCTTAGATGTTTCAAACAATGAATTCTGTTAGTTCAAATAATTTTAGTTTGAAATATCAAATGTTTACCCATTAGGTTGCAAATATATAGGAATTAAAATATTGGAAAATCGGACCAAATCAATTTCGACCCTCTTCTACTATCTATGTAATATCGCCATTTTGTTTCTTAAGGTTAACTTTATAGGATATACATATATATATATATATACGACGCAATTTTAGGTTACCTTTCGTTTAACAAGTTGATAGACACCCAATGATAAGCAATTTCAGAAAGAAATCGGTTTTTTCCTAATTTAAAAAAAAAATAAAAAATCTTTTTATTTCTTCCCTTTTCTCGTGCTGCAAAGTTCTACAAATGGTTTTTGTCCAGTGGAACACATTAAACTATGGAATATGAAGACGACTATTAGACTCAATATACTTTGCTTTGTAACATCATCCTTTGCTTTCAATTCTATAGTTGTATGGTTCCCAATGTAGAGAACTGGCCAGTAATTGAAAACTAGCATTTTTTCCGTTTTAGAAAAACAAGGTAATAAACATAGAAAAAGATAGATTGCGCATAAGATGACATTTCTCAACTTAACAGATATTTGAAATATAATCCAAACTTATAGCTTACCTAGGTTAGTTGTGAACATTGGCTGTTCTTTTGTCATTGAGCACATGAGTTCTGTAGAGAGAAAATTAAATTTAGTTTAGTTTAGTCATTCTTCAATTCTAGCCAAAATGAAATATTGCTTGTCAAAATCATTGGATAAAGCTAAACAGTTTTATTTACCCCCCAATCTTACTAAAATTACAGTTTCTTTTACCTTTAATGACAGGGTAGGCAAAAAATGACTTAATAATCTATTTGTGCATCTAAACAAACAAGGGCTGTTTCAGGATTTATGATGCGCTTAAAATCCCCCCGACCCTGTAATCTTCTGAAACTCCTCCCCCCCATAAGCCTCTAATCCCAACAAAATTACAGTTTCTTTATAGTATAGGGTAGGCAAATGTCTTAATAATCCATTTATTTCTCTAAAAACGATATAAAAAAATATTATTGATTAAACTTTATACATTAACATTATACATATCATATCATATTATTCTAATGATGGGAGAATTATTTTTTATTTCCTGCTATTATTCTTGTTAATTTTTCTTGCAGGAAACTGCAAGTAGTTTTTAAGTTTATTTTAAGAGTTAAAAATAACCAAGAGAAGGCTGAAAGTAAATAAAGGAATTTTTGTTCAAAATAAAAAAAAATTTAAAAAATCTTTTTCTTTTATTCCAATCTACAATGATTTAGTTTTCTTGGGCCGCTTGAAATAAAGGCATCTAAACCACTGATGTCCAAAATTGAGGTAGACCCATAGATAAATAAATAAACATATTTAGCTTATGTACGCAAAATCACCAAGAATTGTATAGTCCGCGAACTGATACTTCTAGGTGTCAAAGTGTACTTCAATGATAAGCGGGATGCTTTGGTGCTTTAATGGATTTCAAAATAGAGTGTAAAATAACTCCGGGAATGGAACTATTTGAACAACAATACATCATATTGACGAGAACTGAAGAAGGACATGAGAAGGACAAAACTAACTTAAATTTTTCTCTACAGAACTCATGTACACCACAAGTACTCAATGACATAAGAACAGCCAATGTTCACAATATATAATAGGAATATCTTTAAAACATCTCTGTACATTTATATCTTTCAAGATGAAAAATGTCGTCTAATGCGCAATCTATCTTTATCTATGGGTAGACCTCTTTGGGTGCATCGCCATTCTTCCCAGGTTGACCAACCTCTCGGTGGTAATCAGGTGGTTTAATAGATGACCTGTGCAATGAAAGCATTGAGCAATGTTTATATCACAAAATCTCAGTGGTTGATACAAATTTGATAAGTTTGGACTAATGCGCATATTCCTGATACATGTCGGGTACATCATAGGGGGAAGAGGATATATGTTTATTTTTACAATGTTGTCGCTTTCAAGGAGGTACAAGTTGTAAGAAACAATACAGTTCCTTTAATCAGGAGGTACAATTTGTAAGAAACATTACAGTTCCTTTAATCAGGTGGTACAAGGTGTAAGAAACATTACAGTTCCTTTAATCAGGTGGTACAAGTTGTAAGAAACATTACAGTTCCTTTAATCAGGTGGTACAAGGTGTAAGAAATACTACAGTTCCTGTAATCAGGTGGTACAAGTTGCAGTGTATTCTTACCTCTTCTCATTGTTATTTGGCCGACAACCATTGCTTCAAAAAAAGTACAATAAATATTCAGGTAGACATCTATTTATCTCTCTACGATCTATATAAATATATACCTATCTATATATCTATTATCTATCATTCTTTTATGTGTCTGCCAATTATTCCCGTTTCTATTTTATAGGAGATAATTTTTTATTCGGGTTTTTACTTCATTTTTTTTACATTGAAGTGTTCATGAAAAATAAAAGTTGCAATGCAATAGAATCCGTAATTAAAACATAACATTTTTTTACGATGTGCTTGCACTAAACATATAGGAAACATCTCCCTCAGTGTCCTTCAAACTTTTTTGTGCTTTAATGTATCAAATAAAGTCAAATTGGACAAAATTAAACAAATTTCAAATATCTCAGTTATTTTGGAGGCGTATAAAACAGCGGGAACCCCAATTTGGAAACCTTGGTTATTAATTATGGTTTTGACATAAGGCCTGCTTATATTTTGTAAATGTGAAATGATTAATTGCGACGTTGATAAAAGACTATTATTTTCCATGTTTAGAGAAACGAGAATTTGTGATAAACTTTAATTAAGAAAAACAAATAAGAAAAGACCTATAGTATTGATTTAAATGTTAAAACTGCATTTGTCAAAATACATCTTTTTGAGCCTTTTTTTGCAAAAAAATAATCAACCAAACATTTAGTTTGGTGTGACCTGTTTGCCAACAATATGGTTGGGCCTGGTTTAACATTGGTAGAAAGTTTGGTTTACCAATTCCTAGTAAAGGTTTGTTTGCTTTCAACCCGACTTATAATTTATTTAAATTTCAATTATGAAAAACCACGATAGGTCTGCTCACTTAAAATAAAAAAATTTTAACTACTTGTATTCTTATGAAAAATTAATTATAAAATTTAATTATTTTTAAAAATAAATTAAGTAAAAAAGAAACAATTAAAAAGTATTAAATTTTCCCACAGGTAATTCTCTGTCTCCAAGATATCCAAGCTAAAGAAAATCCTTCCACATCAGACTTTGAAAAAAAGGTAGAATATTCTATTCGATGTGTTTTAAAACTAATCCTATCCTCCTTTCATACCATATAACACGGAAACAATGAAAAATAGAAATACTTTAAAAAATAATAATTTGTCTTCATATATCTTCAAAATAGTATTCGGCCGCCTAGTACGCCTCTGTTAACTTAAAGCCATGAAGAAGAATTTAACAGCATAAAATTAATATGTGTTTTCTTTTCTAGGTCTTAACCTTGAAGTTGATTACACTGAAGAGTTTAGTGACAGAAAAAAAACAATCCGAAATTTCAGGTAAATGAATTTAAGGTATTGGCTTTTGTGTGGAGTATTGTTAATTAGGAACGTAATAAACATAGATATCCAATGTGGGCATTATTGAATTTTAGGATAAATGCCTCTTCCCTCAATTATAGTTATCCCTGTAGAGCAAAGAACACCACGGGATATCCCTGTAGAGCAAAGACCACCACGGGATATACCTGTAGAGCATAGAACACCACGGGATATCCCTGTAGAGCATAGAACACCACGGGATATCGAAGAGGAGTTAAATTAATCCTTAGGTCTACATAAGCTGAAAATCAACGCTTGATTCTTAGATTCAAAATTCAAAAGTTCTGACCTCTGTTCAATTTTAAGGTGAACTAAAGACTAGCCACAGACTCTAATTTTCTAACCCCTATATATCTTTGGAACCGGATGGTTTAAACCGTTGGTATTTCTAGCTTTGACAGTAAGATCTATCAGAATGTGTTGTTTGAAATATCATTATATCTGGTTGCACAGATATAATGTTTAGAAAATTAGAGTTTATAATAATTGTTCTGTTCCTTTGTCAAAAATTGAAATCGCTGTCTAAATCATTTTACAGGTCTACCGGTATCCAGGCTCAGAGTCTGGTCTCAAATTATGTCTCTTTAAATAAATAATCTGTGCTAAAAAAATTAAATTTGTAAAAAATTAATATTAGCACCTTAATCCTGTTTTATGATTATGTTTTTTAAAAGTTTTTTATAAAGAACATATATAAATAAAAATTCCTCTACTTATGTTTCCTCAAACCCTTCCTTTGCTTTTAACGTAAATTTTCAGGTTCGCCTTTACTATTTATACAAAGTCAATATGATTAAAAACCATTTTATCAAACTAAATGAAATGTCTACACTGAGTGACATTACACATATATGTTGCATGATTTAAAGGTTTTTTTTCTAACATTTTCCTCTTTTTTTATGAACTTTGGTCGAATACTGACTCTGCAACTAAGTTTGTGTCTGACCAAATAATTGGTTTCAACGTACACCCCCCCCCCCCCCTCCATAAATATATGCTCACACTTAATTATAACTAATCTCTAGTTCTACCCGTATTATGAAGATAATAAATTTATTATTATTATTTGGTTAAATATATGAAAATTAGCTATAAAAATTAGGTAAAAATCTTAGCTTTTGTTTCTGATCTACAGCTTGGTTGGCATTTATATCAATACAAAGAGACGACCAGGGGCGTATTCAGGGGCTAAGCCCCCCTGGACTTGTGTAATCTATTGGTTTCAGGGGGGTTTCAGGCCCCAACGGATGCTGAGCACCCCCCTGGAAAGAAAAAAAATGTAACCCCCTCCCTGGACAAATTCCTGAATACGCCCCTGGAGACTTCTGTATAATAATGTTTTGATCCCTGAGGGCAAAACTTAAAAGAAATTTACCGGGTATCCCAAACCAAACCTGGCCACGAAACCGGGTTAGCTCTCTTAAGTCTGACTAAAAGAAAGTCTCAGCAAATTCACAAATGTATCTGATGACATCACACAACTACAGATATTTTAAAAAAATCTGTAGCTCCACCTTTCTGGACATTATAAGCGTGTAAATTTAAATCTTTCCTTGAATGGGCCGACTATTACGCCAAAAAACGGATACCAATTTGTTCACTTTCAAGTGCGTAGCAGCTTTATTCATAAAACACCACAGCTGGAGACTCCAACGACAGCATATTTTAACCCAGTTTCCTAGAGTTTCAAAATACGTTTTAAGAACATGAAACCCGAACTCTGCCAAACCCGGGTTTCAGGAAACCGGGTATCGTAGCGAGTTTTATAATTTTCTTAAGTTTTGCACTCTGACAAGCGCGCTTTTTCAAGTTGTAAGTTTACAAGTAAACAAAGAGAAGCTGTTTATTGACATCTTCTCTTTGTTTACTTGTTTACTTGTTTCTGCTGTTTGAAAGTTTGGTAGAAATAAAAATTAAATAGAAAGTCTTCTTCATTGCAATGATAAATACGACGACGACTGAATATTTTGAAATAATTACAATAAGATTTAAGAAACGATTTTCTTTAGGTTTTTTTTCTGCGTTTCAATTTTTTTTTTTAGTTATTTTGAGACGAAGCCTTTTTATTTGGTGAGTTACCAAAGAACATTTGGGCCTAATTCTGGGTCAGTCGTTTCGACATTTGTTGGAAACAATCCAACAAGCCAATTATAAATAAACAAGACCAAAATGGCACGTTGCGACCCTATCTCTAGTAATAATTTTAGCTTTAGGTCACTGTTCTATTGGCACTTTGCCGGCCTTTTTACTGTTTGAATTTTTTTATTTTATAATATTAACATTGACTTTTTTGGAGATTTTTCTGTCTTTAATGGTGTCTTTTTATTTTGACAGGTTATAAACCTTACCTTGGGTCATGTTAGTTCTCACACAAAAAATGTCCTGATCGGTTTGGCCTTTTTGACGTTTCTTAAATACAAACCAACGGACAAACACTCCCCAGACCGATAATCAGTTTTTTAAATTTCATTATTTGTTTTTAAATTATTTAATAGAAATGTTTTTTTAAGACGTCTCTATTCTGGTTCAAAGGGAAGTGCAAGTGCATGACCAATATCAAAATGAGAGGTAAAGAACTAATCTCATAAAAAGTTATAAAATAAAATGTTAAAAATCAACCACTTTGCGGTATATTCTAAACTCTATAAAATATTCTTTTATAAAAGAAACTTTGTTTTATAATTTTTGAATATATCTAGTTAAACATAATTTAATATTCAAATTGTATTTGGTTAAAGCAATTTTATACGACCTCAATATTTTATTCAAGTAATTATACTTATCAAATGAAAACTTATGGCAAGCCTTGTTTAACCATGGCAGTAAGACCACATAGAGTCCATAGAGCGATAGATAACTAAATAAGTTCTTGTATTCCTGCTTGTTAGTTCAGTTTAAATCCTATTAACTGATGAACTAGAAATCAAAATCACAACTTCGAATTCCGTGAATGTCCGAAAAAGTCTCATTCTTTATAGATGGCCCTGTAAATTAAACAAACCTAACTTAGCAATGCCATGGCTAAAAGAATATAAGAAAAATTTTATTTTAGTTTTTTTTTTACTGAAAGAAACTTACAGACTCAAACGTCAAGTGCTGCCGAAACAATTATGTATATTTCCGTCGTCGTCGTATGTATCAAAACAAGGAAGACGACTTTCAAATTTTAATTTTAATTTTTACAAAGCTTTCATACAGAACAGATACACAAAAACATAGAAAGAAAAAAAAGGTGTCAATAAAAAGCTTCTTTTTATTATACTAAACTTGTAATCTGAAATCGAAATGTCGTCTTCATTGTATTAATATAACCCTGCCACGAGAAGCTAAAATTTAAGTTTTTAAAAACTTTTTTTGTTTGTAACATTTCGCAACTTGATTAATTTTATGTTTCACAGTTTGAAATTCTTTTGTATCATTGAGGACTAAATGATAAGGATAATTGAGCATATAAACATGTTTCACAGTTTAAAAATCATACAGTAACCTCCCATAAAACTGTGGTGTAGAAAGACGACTGTGAAACTCAAGTTATGATTATTTAAAGTCCAATGAGCATGAAATACAGACCCATGTCACTTAATATTGGTAAGACTATTTACTTTACAGCAACATCAAATACATATACATAAGATTGCTTAAATGTCGATTTATATTTCACCTTATAATGGGTCTCTCTGTATGTTTGAATTGAATTCCATACTTAACCAATATCTTTAAATTACATAATTTGGGAACCCCTACATTTTTCAGATCACATTGTCAAAAAATTTCGAATGAAGGGGATCATTAATTTGGCGTGCCGTCCCGGTTTGCCTTACATAGTCCGTAATTATACTGCTCTAACTGGTTAAAAGTCGGCCCGGTACTTGAAATGACCCGGGGTTAAAATGATCCGGGGTTGAAATGACCCGGGGTTGAAATGATCCGGGGTTGAAATGACCCGGGGTTGAAATGATCCGGAGTTGAAATGACCCGGGGTTGAAATGATCCGGGGTTGAAATGACCCGGGGTTGAAATGACCCGGGGTTGAAATGACTCGGGGTTTTCTGTGCTGTTGGAATACATTTTGTCTGTGTAATATTGAACTAAATCCTGTACATATGTTTTTGGAAATTATGAACATAATGCTAGAGGGATTTAATATCAATAGAACATTTTCTTTGGAATTTCGAACAAAATATTTGTCAGGATGTACTCTAACAGTGTACTCTAACAGTGTACTCTAACAGTGTACTCTAACACTGTACTCTAACAGTGTACTCTAACAGTGTACTCTAACAGTGTACTCTAACAGTGTACTCTAACAGTGTACTTTAACAGTAGTCTCTAACAGTGTACTCTAACAGTGTACTCTAACAGTGTACTCTAACAGTGTACTCTAACAGTGTACTCTAACAGTGTACTC